TAGGAACAGGCTTTCTGCCAAAGAACAGCTATTCATCGTCCTTTGTTGCCAAAGACAAAGCAGCCAGTGGTAGAACACTGATGTACAAAACAAATGCCAGAATTCTAATAAGTGAAAAATGGCCTGGTTTATGCCAGTGCCTCTAGAGCAGTGTATTTATTTTCCCACAGTTTGGGCTTAATGTATTTTTAGAGGTATGATGGAAAGGAATCAGCCCGTACATAAATATATTCAAAACAGCCCATGTGATGAAAAACAGCCTAAAATGCTCTTGTGCATGGGCAGGTAAGTACAATGAAAGCGCCTGTCCTGTGAAAACAAGGACTACAAATTTTCAGGGAGCATCTACATGGGTAATGCCTTCTATTTCTGATTTTACCTTGTTTCAACCTCAGGATTGAGTTAAAAGGTATACAGAGAAGGGCAAAAATGGAGTTTTGACAAAGGTTGATCTATCCAGTTTGGGTTGTCTTATTTTAAGAACTGATAACGATTGGGAATTTTTGGTTGATGATGTCATAAAAATTAGACATTATGTGGTTATTACTCAGTTGATAACTGTGATGTTGACTTAGAGTAAGTATATGTTTTGATCATTTCTATGTCCAATATATATATTCCTCATACATAGTTGGTTTTCTTTCACCTTTAGTTCCTGACTCACAGCTCCTAAAACCCTTAGAATTTCCTAAAGTGCTGGCTCAGAATGATAACAGTGTCTCTTGTCATGTAAATGAGGTAACTTTGGGGGAAGGGCCTAGAAAGAGGGGTGCTGGGTGTGAGAGAAACCAATGATGAAAGAGTTGAAACTTTCAGTCTCACCCACTGAACTCCAGGTGGGGAGTGGTGCTGGAGATTTAGGTTTCACTGGCCATGGCCAGTAATCTAACATTTACGGCTATGTAAATACTCAAGAGGATGGGCTCTGCTATGCAGGCTGGTGGACACAGGGAGAGTGGGGAGAGTGGTGCCCCTGGGGAGGACATGGGAGCTCTGCACCTTTCCCCATATGTTACTGAGTGCAGCTCTTTCATCTGGCTGCTCATAAGTTATATATTCATAGTAAGTTGTTGATCAAGTGAGTAAATGAGTTCTGTGAACTGTTCTAGCAAAGTGATCAAACCCGAGGAAAGGCTCCTGGGATCTTCTGGTCTGTAGCAACTGGTCAGTGGCTCAGGAACAGACTGGGCTTAGGACTGGCAGCTGCAATAGAGGGCAACCTTGAGACTGAGCCCTTCACTTGTGGAACCTGATGTTATTTCTGGGCACAATAAGGATGAAACTTAAGTAGCAACTCTAGACTACAATGTCAGAAAAACATCAAAATGCTGGAGATGACACTAGCAACTTGAACTGGCTAATTTGTGATTCATGAATACAGATTTCAGTTTCTCCCTGCTGGTCAATTAGACATGCACTCCAAGGCACCCCATTTCTGCCTCTGGCCCAGAGCCACATCAAGCAGTTTGGACACAGAGCTGAGCACCCATCCCACGTGTATCATGGCATATCTGTGCCATGCTCCTCCCTCCTGACTCTTAGATTCACTGAAGAACTCATTTGGGATCGGAAATTCTACCTGATTTAGTTTTTCCCTAGGGAAAAAAATACATTCAATAATGTCATAAATCTCTGGAATCCAGTTTCATTTAAGTTTACCTTAGTGATTTTAAATATGTGTACAAGGTCTCCCTTATCCCACCTTAATCTCAGTTTCATGCAGAGATGGTGGGCTACTCCTGTGGTCAAGCATGAAGTGCTTGTTCAGTAATGTGGCTGTGTCTCAGAGATTCACTCACCTAAACCCCTTGGGTCAAGAGCACATTTGAAGGATAGGTAACCAGGAGATTGCTATTTGCATAAAATAATGAAAAAGTGACATTGCCTTTATGAACACCACCAAATTAGCCACTTTCTCAATAGTAGTGTATGTCTGAATCACAAATTGGAGTGAATGCTATTGCTATGATCCAGTAAAACAATGGTCTCAGTGCTTCTGCCAGCATATCTGGGCTCTTTGCATTTGAATTACACACAGATATGCTCTCTGGGAGATCAATTACTGTCCAAACATCCTCAGCCCCTGGCTGGCTCCCTTACAGGGCACACCTGAACAGCTGTAGGGTTGCCTTCAAGTTAGCCAGTCTCAAGAAGGTGGTAAACTCGATGTGGCACATGAGTGTATATCCTTCCATGTTATGTCCCTGCACTAAAATCATGGAGAAGTTAAAGTCATTTGTTAATAATTACCCTATTACTGAACAGCCCATTGTATTCAGAGTAAAAAACTAATTCATTATAGCAGTACAGGGCATTGGTGCCTGCCATCATTAGTCTATTTCATTAGGGTTGGATTAGATTTATTTTGGTTTAGAGAAATACTTTTCAAGAGAAAAACTTTGTTAATTTTTGGTGAGAAAAGGTTTATAAAACATCTTTCCCTCTAAGGATAGAAATGGGCTCTTTGGTGCTTTGTGTCTGATGATGTTGACAAGTCATCAGAGCCATTGACGCCTGCTGCCACTCCACCCCCCCTCTTCCTGGCCACCCAGTCAGGTCAGCAGAGTACTGCCCCAGTGTGGGCCCTGCCCAGAGCCCTGGCACTGTTGATGGCATTGGTCTAGAATCAGTTTCTTTATAGGTTTGGGTCACTGCCATTTGAAAATCAAATAAACTACGGATTTCATCACATAAAAATGCGCACGGTCCTAACTCTCTTTTCTCCATGCAATTTTAGGGAGTTCAGGAATCCATGCCAAGAGAATTGTCTTACATTTTTTTGGTCAGGAATTTTTCTAGTGGTCAGATGAGACTATGATCCCCTCTCAGAATGATGACTTTAGGTACATAACATAGGAACACAAAGGGTTTCAAGAGAGATGAATTATATTGAAATGCTTAATAAAAGTTTAAAGCTTTTGTGATATAAAAAGATCTAAATGCTATTATATAAATGCATTAAATAACAAGATCTAATGGTGAGTCTAATAAGCACTGTAGTTTTGAAGTATTGAGGATCATAAAAGATATTTTATGATGTCTGCCACACAGCGGGAAACGAAACTGTCTGCAATTTTCACTGGTGATAGGTGTTGCTAGTTCTACTGTGTCTGCTACCTACATTCATCATTGAAGGTTGTGGGAAATTGCAGGCAGAGATCTGTGACAATAAAGGGGTACTTTCCCGGCACCCAAGATTCTGGACCATTGGTTAAAGGCCTCTGAGATGCTAGAGATTCTCTGCATGGCGGGCCTGGTTCTGAGCCTGAATGTCTTGGTCCTTTTTGTTTAGGTCCAGAAGGAGACTTTGGGGCTTCTGTTTAGAGGCCAAAATGATCTTAGCTATGAGGATTCCCCATATTCTGTAGGAAAAGATAAAAGGGACATTCAGAGACACTTCAGAACACTAAGTGTTCTCACTTTGGAGGGCTAGAAAGGTGGGGACCAGTGGGATGAGGGGAGTCACCTTGGAGCAGGTAAGAGACTTCTGCCCCCAGAGCATATGTGTGTGAAGGCACAAGAGATCTCTTTAGGGAGGTTGCCCCAGTGGGGTGATGGGTCTTTGTGTTTTTCTAGCTTGGGATGAAAGAATATTTTCCTCTTAAATGCAGATGGCCAACAGGCACATGAAAAATGTTCAGTATCACTTGTAATAAGGGAAATGCAAATCAAAACCACAATGAGATATCATCTCACACCGGAGAGAGTGGCACACATTAAAAAACTAGCAACACAAATGTTGGTGAGGATGTGGAAGAAAAGGAACTCTCCTACACTACTGGCGGGAATGCAAACTGGTCCAACTGCTATGGAAAGCTGTTTGGAGGTTACTCAAACTGTTACAAATGGAGCTTCCATATGATCCAGAAATTCTACTCCTAAGTATCTACCCAAAGGACAAAACATGAATTCAAAAGGATGCCTTTACCCCTATGTTTATTGCTGCTCTATATGAATAGGGGAGATGTGAAATCAACCCAAATGCCCAAAAATAGATGACTGGATCAAGAAGATGTGGTACATATAGACAGTGGAGTATTATTCAGCAATCAAAAAAGATATGCTCATGCCATTTACAGCAACATGGAAGGAGCTGGAAGGGATCATGCTTAGTGAAATAAGCCAGAAAGAAAAAGAAAAATACCAGATGGTTTCAGTCATAGTAAGAGCGCAGGTGATGGGAAAAAAAGATAAAGCAATCCTAATAAAGTTAAAACAAAATAAATGAACAACTAGAAACCAGAGACATTCTATGGGGGTGGAGAGGGGGAAAGGATCAAAACTGGGGTGGGAAGCGAGCACGCAACTATGGTGATGGTATTCGGGTGAATTGGTGGTGCGGATTACGACTGAGATGAAAAAATGTACAAAATGAAGAATGATGTGAAAAAAAGAAATACAGTAAAAAAGAAAAAAAAATGAAACATTTTCCTTTTGTTCTAACAAAGATAGGAAGTTACTTTCGAGTTTGCCTCATGTCTTGACTTTACCTTCCCAGGGACGCTCAGCTAAGGGGAAGAACCCTGCTGGTCAGCCTGTGCCCTAGGAGGACACAATGGCTCACTCATTTTTGCTTCTCTTCCTCTTCATGGCTCACCAGGTGGTACTGAAAAATATACACCTATGCTCATCAGACTAATTATCAGTCTTGGGAGGTGTAAGAGTGTTTCGGGACATTTGAAAATATGAATTGTCACCATAGTTCTATAAAGTTGTGCTATTGTAGGAAAACACCAGGGAAAAGCAGAACTTTCTTACTGGGATGCTAGAGCCTAGGTCTGCATGAGGACAAAAGTTCAAGTTCTAGTTCTAGACAAAGGAAAGTGCTTTTGCAGATAGTCACTTGAGGGAAGAGATGAGGGGCTTCCCAGGGAAGGCTCTTTCTAAGCAGCTTTCTTGGCTGTGCTCTCCTGAAACACAGATGCTTGGAGGCACACTGTGACCTGACTGTCACCTGAAAACAGTCTATGAAAGAGGCTCACAGAATAGCAGCTGCTTACCAATTTTGCTCCTCGCTTCGTTGATACTTTCTCCTAGGGCCTTTGCTTCAGAAAATCTGGAAGGGAAAAAATAATTAGAGTTTAATATACTCTGTTCATCCTAAATTGCATTTTTTAAAAATAAAGTTAGAGCGTTGCCTTTTAAAAAAAAATTTTATTCATTTTTATGTAGAAGAATCGGAATGTAGACCAGAGGTGCAAGGGGGTGAGGGGATTCCCCAGAAACAGAGTGGGGAGCAGAACGGGCAGATCGACTGAAACACACTGCGAAGGGGAGCAGCTGGTGAGACAGGAGAGGTCTGCTGTGCCATGTGGGTGAGTTGATGGCTGTGGATCAATCTCAGGTTGTTGAAATGATAGGGCTGAGACTTAACCCCTAAGCCACCAGGGAGGGCCCCTAAATTGCGTTTTTAAAAATAGTAGACTTCTGAGAAGTCTTTAAAAGATTATCTAACTTGGCCCTCCCTGGTGGCACAGCAGGTTAAAGCACAGCACTGAGAGGCTAGAGCCACTTCCGCATGAGTTCGATTCCCACCTGCCCCGGAGGTGACCACATGGTGTGGCAGACCTCTCCTGACCCGCCTGCTGCTCCCCTCAGCAGTGTACTTCGTAGATCTGCCTGTTTTGCTCCCCACTGTCTCTGGTGAGGCCTTTCGCCTCCCCTGAGCCTCTGGCCTGTACCCCAGTTCTGTATGAACAAATAAATAAATCTTAAAAAAAAAAGATTATCTAACTTATTGGAAAGACATACAAGAAAATCTAAATAAACAACATGTATTAGGCTCAAAAATAAGATAAATTTTTTTATTAATTCCCGGCATCATTATTTTCTACTCCTCTATCCAGCACAGACTTTTCATCCTCATATTCATTGACTAATGATATTCAGTTTCACATGTTTTATGATGCAGGCACCAGAGAAAGTGTGACTGGAAGCCTCATGTACTGTGCTCTATTAGAGATCACACCAACATCCTACGGTCCAGGAATATATACTTAAGTGACATTTTGCTTTTTACAGGTAAGCTATAAAGTCAAACATAATAGGCAGCAAACTGTGGTTGGTCAGGAGATACATCCAGCTCATCACTTGCTTCTGTAAAACGAATTGTGTCGAGATGCAGCCACATCCACCCTCTGCAAACCATCTCTGGCCACTGTCATCCCACCGGGGCAGATGTGAATAGATGTCAATAGATGTGACCAAGGCCATCCGGCCTGCAAAGGTAAACATATTTACTCTCTGGCTCCTTACAGAAAACGTTCATTGACTCCTGCTATACATATTACAAATTCTTAATAATTTTCTACCCAGGAAAAAAAAACCATATCCACCCTGTCGCTCTTTTTTTAGCCAGTTTTTATAGAATTAAGAACATGCCATATATATGATTTTGGACTTTGAATTTTTCATTTAGGGATGTAAAATAAGTCTTTTCCTACATTATTAGAAACTTCCATATTCTTTGATGGCTGCACACCAACCCACCAGAAGGTTTCCCTAATGTTTACTTAACGAGTCCTCTATTTTCCAACCAATATTTATGAGACAACCGCTGGGAGCCCAAGCTTGGGCTAGAGAAGCGACGGAGGCTATAACTTGCATGGAAGACACAGACCGGTCCCTTTCACACGGTGGGCCCTGAGGAGCTGTCTGTTGCTTTCTATTCTTTTGGCCATGGAGTTGAAGAGGAAATTGGAATTTTAGACAATGAATTCATGATGTATGGCTACAGTGGTGTATTGAGTTACAGGGTAGCCTTGGTCCTGCGATCAGGATTGACTGTGAATGGGGAACAGCCATGGACTCTTGCTACCCTGGGTAGAATTGACTTGGATTTTGTGACTACACAGAAATTTTTAGAAAACTTGTTATTATAGAAATTCCCAAATATGCAAAAATTAAGATAATAGAATGCCCTCACACTGGCATACTTCATTCATTATCAACACTTGGACACTTTGATTGTAACCATTCCACCTGTTTTTCTCCCCTGCACCCCAAACCTTTCTGGATCCTAGTAAACCCCAGATATCAAATTATTTCACCCATAAATGCTTTCATTGTGTAGGGATTACTAGAGGAAGTGGAGACAGAAGTGTTTTCCAGGCAGGGGCAATAGAAGCAGACCAGAGAGCCACGGCAGCTCTGGTTTGACAGAAGAGAAGTGTGAATTATGTCATGGCTATTTTCGAATCTGTCTGCTTGGCTTGTGACTGTAGACAGGAAGTTTCCAAGGAAGGGGACTACATTTGCTCTCAATGTTAGGTTTCTTAGGACTCCACCCCCTGGCTCCCTCTTAAGGGGGCTCAGGTTCCTCTCAGTGAATGTGTGTCCTCTCTTCAGTTAGGGCCTGTCACCTCCTGGAGAGAGTTCTCCTTGATGCAATTCAGATTGAATTCAGCTTGGCAAGATTCACATGTCACGTGGGTCACCGTGCTGGGCAGGCATGGTGTTTGGCCCAGCACTCAGAACTGAGGATTATCTTCATATACTACATTCTGCCAGCTGAGGGAACCACAGTGTGTGATCACAGCTGTGTCCATCCCTGGTGCTAAGCATTTGATAGTCCTTCCTTGCTCAGTGAGTGGCTCCTCTTATTTATAGAGTACTGGAAGCATTAGCTATTTGAGAATAAGGCAAATGCAAGGGTAAGGCTATGCAGCTGTTGAAATTCATGTCACCAGTGGAGTAAAGACAGGCAGGGAAGACACAGCAATCTCAACAAAGCACAATTTGGAGAATCTCCGACTCGCCTTGATGGAGCATCTGGCCTTGGCTGAGCCCACGTGTGTCTGGGAGGATATGGCAGAGGCAGCTGCTCAGTGTTGTGGTCAACGTTCCCAAGAGCCGCCCTGCGCAGTCACTGCCAGACCCTGCAGGGCGAGTCATGGGCTGTTTCAGTCTCCTCTGAGCCCAGCTCAGAGCTAAAATGGGCTCCCCACTGCAGAGGTGTGGGCTGAGGGCTGTCCTGTCCTCATGAGGCCATTTCCCCTTCACTCTGCAGTTGTCACCATGCCAGGCCACCTCACCCACATGTGTCCCTGATGCCTGGTTGTCAAGACAAACTCAGGACTAAAGAAGCCCAGCCGGAGGCTGGAAGAAGTGTAATGGGAGGTCAGGCAGATGAGGAGGAAAAGGAGGATGCTAACAGAGACGGAAAAGAAGTGACAGTCTCCCCAAACATACCACTTGCACCTCCTTGCCTACCTTGCACCTCCATCCCTTCACAGACAGTCCCTTCCTTCTCCCTCTTTCCAGCCTTCCTATTCCTGATGGAGACCTGCTCATCCAGACTGTGTCAGGGACACCTCCTGCCTCTGGACCTTCTAAATGAGCCATCCCTGTGATGTCAGTGACAGCACGGGCCATGGAGCCAGCCCGGGTCCCAGGCAGTGAGCCTGCACTGTACTGTTGAGGAGCCGTGGCCTCCCCGAGGCAAGGCTGCACCTGAGGCGGGGTGCAGGGACAAGCCTCTGGGGCTGGACCAGGGCCAGCAGCGGCCCCTGGTCCAAAGTGTTCCTGTCAGGAAGCCTCTGGCTGGAGAGCTCCTTTTGGGGAGTGCTACAATGCTGGGTGCAGTGTCGGGGGGCTGGTAGACTGCTCTGCTCATGTGCACAGGATGGCTCTACTTTGGGGCACGGCCTGCGTTTGGAGGCCAAGTGCACTATTCTGGAGGTTCTTTCACAAGCCTGATGTCCCGGCCTTCACAACTGAGCCACACCCAACGTGGCCAGGTCCTGTGCTGGAAACTGTCCTCAGACAGGAAGTAGTCTTTTTCATTGGCTTCCCACTGCATCAGCCGTGTCCCCTGCTATGTTCCCCTCTCTCCCTGTTCCTCTCTCTTAGTCTCCTTTGATGGTCCTTCTCAGCAGCCTGTTCCTCTGACATTGGTGTCCTCAGGGTTTTGTCCTGAGCCTTCTCCCCACCTTACCTATTCTCTCTGGGCACCTTCATGCTGGTGCCTTCATATACCATTTCATGGGCTCCTCCCAAATCTCCGCCTCAGCCCCATCCTATTTCCTAACCCACTCTCCAGCTACTCACTTGAAGCCCAGCCAGTGACTAAAATTCATTGTATCCAAAGCCGAACTGATGACCTCCTCCTGCCCCTTCCTCCTATCATTCTGTGAGACTTCAGTAGGTGTGACCCCCACATGCTCTGCAGTCATTACATATCCTGAGCTGCTGTCATCACAGGCTGCTGTCATCTACTTGTCTGTCCCTTTTCAGTATCATAAGCACGGCGAGGACTCTTGTATCCCTGGAGCGAGGAGCGGGGGCCCATATCTCACTTGTTTTTCATAAACAGTGCTTGCAGAATGAGAGAAGCAGCATGTGAGTGAGCGTATGACACAGGCAACCTGTGAAATGTGGACAGCACTGAACTGGCCGTCCAAGACCTGAATCCTATGATTTTTTCATGGCTGGCTGTCAGATTCCACATATCTAGGAATACTATGGGATGCCTCTCAGGGCTGGGCTCATGTGGAAAGTAGAACCATGCAAACATGCCTTGGGCCTGCAAATCGCGACATGGCAGTGTAGTGACTCCGTGGGGCGTGATGAATGTGAACTGCATGTTGGAAGCAGGAACCGCAGACAATAATGATAAGTATCATCCTCCCAGCAAACCACAGAGTCAGAAGGGATCCTTGCAAAGCAATGGTCAAGTTCACCTAAAATAGTAACTCAACTCGTTTGCAATGGGAGTGAAAAGAATGGGGGAATGGAGGTGGAACTGCAAGTATCACACAGGAGCAGATACTGGGAAGACCCCACCCTGCCCGTTTTATGTGTCAGGCAGAGCTGTAAGTCACCGCTGAGGAGCAGAGGAGGAGCCCAGTGCTGGCTCTGCCCCAGATCAGCTGGAATCACAGACGGTTTGCTGGGCCCATGGGCAGTGGCTGCTTTGATTGACAGGCCGAGGAGAGAAGCTGGTACTCAAAGGCCACTCACCTGATGTATTCATATTTGTAGTCATATTTCTGGGTCATTTTGTGGGGCCACGTCTTCAGGACACTGGGACAAATTTGGCAGAGGAGGGCAAATGTG